TGAACTTCTTTTCAACTTCGCATACATTTTTCAATTCTTGAACTTTTCTCAATTTGCAAAGATTTTTCAAATTCACAACTTTATTTTCAAATTTTTGAACTTTTCTCAATTCAAGAACATTTGTTCAAATTCTCAAATAGTTTTCTAAATTTGTGAACTTTTTTCAGTCATTGAACATTTTTTCTAATTGGCATTTTTTTTCTTTGAATGGATGGTAATTTTTCGAGTCCGTGAATATTTTTTGAAGTCCCGAACATGTTTATAAATTTGTGAATGTTTTTTAATTCTTGAACATGTTTAAATCTGTGAAGATTTTGTTCTTGAAAGTAATGGATTTCCACTAAAAAGAGGTATTCAATGGACTAAGGTTTTCTGTTCAACAAACATTTCCCATTTCAAATTTTTATTTTGATACTTATATTTCTTCCAACATGATAGAGGCATAGCACAAACAAACGGCGCGTAACTAACAGAAAACCCATGGGGAAGAAAGAAAATGAAGCAGAATGAAAACCATGGAGAAGAAAGAAATAAAAAACATAAAACCGTGAAGAAGAGGATTTCTTTTGTCTCGTATGTCAATTACGGGCTTCCACTATAGATGGGTTAAGTGACCAACCGCAAGCGATGTCATATCAGCTCGTAGCGTCGAGCAATCCAACAGATCCTACGGCACCTCGGGCGTGGTATTGAGCTTGCCCACTCAGGTTGTTCCCTTGACTAGTTTTTTCTTGTGTATTATGTTGCTAGTTTTATCGGTTTCCTTTTGTTTTTTATCATTATTTATTTTAACTGTTCATCTTTCTTATAAATTCACATAATATTAAATTTTAGAACAATTTTAAATTTTCAGCATTTTTGACCCAGTGAATGTATTTAAAAATTAATGAACATGGTATATTTAAAATATAAATATGTAAATAATAGTGAATATTTCATAAATCATTAAATTGTTTATCAATTCAGGAAAAAAATATAAATTCACGAACATTTTATTCATTTTCGGATAATTTAGTGTCTTTTTTATAATCCTCGAAGATTTTCTATTTTGAAAAATTAAATCGCAGTTTTTTGAAAAAATCATAAATGTTTTGTAAAAACAAGAACATTGTTTTCCAAATTTCTGCACTAACCAATTTTTTAAGCAGGTTTTGGGGAAAACCGGCTCAGGCCGAAGATGGGATGAGCAGCCGTTGCCAACAACCTGAAACAAAAAGCACGGTGGTTGGGCTGGGTTTGGGCTCCACCAAATGTAGAGCCCGAAAGCCTGAAATAAACCCAAAATACCTAAAAAAAGGGGGGGGGGGGTTCATAAACATATATAGTTATAATATTGTACTCCCTCCGTTCCAAAATAGATGACTCAACTTTATACTAAAGTTAGTACAAAGTTGGGTCATCTATTTTGGAACGGAGGGAGTATTATGGTTGCGCGCCAGATTATTCCATCACTTGCACTAACTATTTTATATAACTAAATCATATACCATCATTTATTAAGCTGAATCCATCTTTAAAATGTATATTCCGTTGCTGTGGTGGATTTATATTGTCAAAAAAAATTCATAGTGGACTGTAAAAAAGATATTAAGTAGTTGCGCAAAAAAAAGATATTAAGTAGTTGCGCAAAAAAAGATATTAAGTAAAATAATTACCCCAGATAGCTTTTCTATGATCAGATGTCCAAAATCAAGTAGGTTTAATATTCATAAAAAAATCTCAGACAAAAGTGAATCAATCACATGAAGATATCGCTAATGGATTAATGAGAATAGTAAAAATGGCATAGCGTGTCAAGGATGCATAGGGGAAACAGCCGGTGCACCACAACATTGGTGCTACCGGTGAACCCGATTCTTATGATTGAAGTGGACTGGGAAAATATCTAGTGCACCGGAGCTTGTGGAGCTAACTGCTACCGGTGCACCGAACTCATACTCTGCTTTTAAAATGTTCAAAAAAATTGTGAATTTTTTTTAGCACACTCGCACAACATCAATGTAGGTTGTCACAAAGTTTCAAGTCAAAATTCCAAACATAACTCCAAAACAAAAAATGACAAATTTAACACTGAATATTACATAACATAACTTGGGCTTTAGATTTGGCCCATTATCACACCGATGCCAATTTTATCATTTTTGTATCTCAAGAAGTATTTCAAAGTTTTATATAAGTTTTGTGACATCATATATTGATGTTGCGTTAACATGCTAGAATTTTTTTTCAGATTTTTTAAAATATTTTGTGGCATCCGGTGCACTGGTAGCACCACAAATGTGGGTGCACCGGATACATTCCCGGAGTGGACTACTGGAAATCTTGGGCAGAAATTCAGGGAGTGAAGTGGGGAGAGCGTATCTGGTGCACCAGACCTGGTTGCACATTAAAAAATGTTCAATTTTTTATATTAGGCTCGTATTGATGTCAAAATTTTCATTTTGTATCCATGCAGTGTTTCGAATCTTGATATAAAATTTCATAACATCAAATGATGTTGTGTCAATGCACTAATTCTTCTTCAGATTTTATCAAACATTTTTTAATGTACAACCAGTGTCCGGTAGCATCAATTGCCCCGGTGCACCAGATACGCTCTCCTGAAGCGGGTGGGCTAGTGAATGCCATTGATGTGTTTGAAGTACGGCTAGGGTGCAGCTAAAGCAACGGTGTCCCCCATCGACTGGTTCATGTGATGTGAGCTGTGCAAATATACTGGAGTGCTATCCTAGCAAGCAACGATGGGACAAAGTATGTCGTTGACAAGAATAATACAGTACATAAATAATTAGAAATGAATTATCATGTAGGATTGCATTATCATGTCTAGGAATAATACATAAATAATTTTATATATCAATATCTATTGCGCCATACAAAAAAAATGGATTTTTGTCCATAGAAAAGTTCTTTACAAATGTAATGTGAAAATATTTTAAAAATCTGATGGTATACAATCCCACCACTGAATGACCCACATGGAAAATATATTCCAATAAATATCTTTCGAATCAATCGGGCTCTTATGTTTGTTTTTTAACTTGAAAACTTGTGAGCTGTGACATTGACACCCGTAATGCCTTCAAGTTACAATCACCATCTCAAAAAGACAGAAAAACATACTTGGAAACATTACCATGTCCGACAGCATGGCTGAGATTCCTAGTTACTTGAGCGAAAATAACATCTTCATTGATTCATATTTCACAGAGCTGGAGGGTCGACTTCATAAAAGAAGAAATGACTTTCTCGCAAATTGCTACCTGATATGACACGGCACATACTCTTCTTGCCTATCTTTTTAGCTATACTCGTTCTAACTCTTTCCAGTTCAGGACGAATCAACAAGACAGAAGCCATCTCGGATACGCATGCAGTTCCATAACCGGACCGGAGCATCACCAGGAGTGGCTACCCTCTTTCGCATCAAAGTTTCGACAGAAATGGGCTTCCTCTTGCATCACTCCACAAAATCGCCCTGCAAAGATTTGATGCAAAATTGTGAACATCCTAGTGCGGATTAGAAGTTCCTAGCAAGAGTAACATGAGCACAGGAGGCAAAGATTGAGTGGTTATTTTGTGTGTTTACCTCAGCATGCACGTGAGCACTAGATTTCTAGTGATTGTCCCTGCCTCCCTGGTATGAAAACTTCTTGCCACACCCAGAGAATCAGATTGGATTGTCCAAACTGGATTTCTGAAGTTCAAAGTTGTTGAAAATGAAAAAACAGAGTGGTTTTCCAATTTATTGTAGAGAAATATCCATGAGACAAGTCAAAATGTACGATTGCATACACACCTTTGAAATGAGCATTTGCAATCTCCCAGGTTGCATTTAATCCTCTAAGTGACAAATTAGCCGTTACCCATTAGCTGATGCCGCTAGAAGTCTTCTTAAGCTGTTTAGTGCCACAGACACCGCACTGCACATATCGATGACTAGTTTGGTTATGGGCCTTGAAGCACTCCACATTAGAAGTCTTGATGCAGCAGTAACATCATAAGATTAGAAACGTCAACTTACAAGATTGAGACTGCTAGGCAATTCTTATTACACTAAGAAAACTAAATACGGAAATTTTATAGAAACTCAGTTTCTCACCATGTGATTCCTCGTGTTTCTGTAACTTGAAAGCATATTTGAAAGTCTTCCCATGGTTAACCTCTGGATAGATGGACTACTCTTGTATCCAACGCAAAGTTCAGTTAACATTTATGCATACTGAGGGCCATCCTCATGAATTTCTTGAACAGAGCATATAAATAGTTTTCCTTGATGATTAAGTAGATGGCGGTTCAAATAGTTCATACAGCAAAGGGTCTCTGTAACAGTTTTGAAAGGGACACATATCAGAATTATTTAAAGCCACTCAATCTGATTTGCTTCCGACAAAACATGATTTTTCCCATAGAGACAGTGCAACATCATACATCAGATCTTGGATTTTACATGTTTATCTGGAATAACACCCCTAAATGTGCCCAATTTCGTTGACTGTGACCTGCTTCACTTCCTGAAAGAACGACCTAAGACTCCAGCTCAATGAAAATTTGTTTGCCAATGGTTTCAAAATGAATTTCCTTTTGTTCAGGGGAAAAGCCATGTATGGTCTTGGATCAGCTTGTCAACATGGATCACATAATTGTTGAGAAACACAGCACATAAAACAGAAATGACTGCTACATACGTGATGCCAAGTCGTTGCAGCAGAGCTTGAGTATTGCTAAAAAAATCCATTCCCTTGGTCAAATGATGCTTTTGTGTAGTACAGCCTCCCCTTTTTCTGCCCTTGCCTTGGGCGTGCATTACGGATTCAAGTGATTTTTGGCAACGAAATAAAGGAGACCCAACCACAATCTGTCCACAAACTCATCAACCATAACAAGCAGCTCAGAAGCCAATTTGCTCTATTGCAAACAGAATGCCAGTTTTTAATCATTTCCTTTATGAGCTCCCTGTAAAAAACTGCAATGTCCTGGCCTTCAACCGTACCCATGAGTTACACAATTTCTTTGTTGCAAGATATTACCAATACAAAGATACAGACATCTTCCAGTACTGTTAGGTACCCATGTCCACCAAGCTCTCCTCTGAGCTCCTGGAGTGCCTTCTCATTTTCCTTCTCTCGAGAGCTTTGGAAGATCTTGCGGGCTAGGACACAAACATCAAAATTCTCTGATCCACAGACCCACCTCTGCAGTTGGAAATGATGCTGGATATAGGGTCAGTGTAGGTGAGTGTGCCAAGGTGGTCTTGCCCAATCCCCATTCCAACATTGGGAAGGACCATGAGACTATTAGTGATAGGTTGACCAGTTAAGAGTCTGTAGAATGGCATGCTTCTCTTAATCTCTTGATTGGCCTATAATGTTCTCTGGGTCAACCAATGACAGAATCTATTTACCGCTACTGCTTGGGTGTCGGCCCTTGTTGCCATATTTAAACACAAAGGCATTCATATTATGGAATATAAAACGACTGTGATCTGGAAAGAGCTTTTATCACATCAAAGCCGACCTCGGAGTAGTGTCCCTACTTGGGTTGGCCGCAAAAACCTCGTACTTGAACTCGTCGAAGACTGACTTCATTCTCCTTGTAAGAACCTTGAGCTCCTTGAGCTAGGCCTTGACCCATTCCCAGTGGGTTGCTGCCTTCTCGGCCTTGGTGATGACTCCAGGATGACTGGGAGCAGATTCAGCTTCAGGATCTTGTGCTGCGTCTCCATGCCCTTCATCACCTCGTATTAGTCTAGGATGTAGCTGGAAACCTTCTCCTTCACCATGGCCACCAGCAGCCCAACCACCATGGTTTGCAGGAATAATGGAATTTTGTTCGGACGTGATGTTGTCTGCGTGTGACAGACTGCCTGCATGTGCAGATGAAATGAAATTTGCTCAGAAAGTATAAGAAATAACCTCATGGCACATGTAAAATTTCTTCGATTACAGTTCATATAAATATCCTGAGAGGTTTAGGCTTTCAATGAATAGTTGCCCATCTCAAAAGCATCCTTGTCCGATAAGAATGGTGGCATCCCATTCCTTACCAATCATTTTCTGTCACGCCCTCACCATTGTCAATGGTGATGACGGACCACGAGTCGCCTGCCCCTGAAGAAGCCAGATCCAGCAGGCAGACCAAGCAAGCACCAGCGTGATTCTCAAGTCAGATGGCTCTGTGAGCTGGTATTGTGGAGCGTAAGCCCACATGTAAGATTGTGGTTACGTGTGTGATATAAGGGACACTGTTGGCCAGCATGTGGGGTGTGAAGAAATTGACTCTGAACATCTCTCGCTATTTTCTCTGCATCTGACCTACCTTCTCCTTCCTCCCTCCTGTACCACTCTTCCTCACCCAACTCTTGCTGTACCCTGTCAGCTATCAATGGATGAGACCCGGATCGTGACATTTTCCCCCTTCTTCCTTCACCTCTCTCCCCGCTCCATGGGCACCATGGCCTCAATGCCTCCCCCCTCCCCCACCCTATTAGTTTCGTGAGGTGAATCCAAGCATTCCCAAAGTAAATATTTTTTCTCAAGAATTCTCGCCACAATAACAAAATAGCGTGGAAATCTACCACGCAGCACATAACAGTAAAGGTTGCAGCTTGGTTTCCTGGCAGAGAAGTACTAAGAATGGAGCGCACCAAAACTGGAGAGGAATGCTTTAATTCCTCGAGCAGATGCTTTAATTCCTTCCCCTCTATCACACGAGGCGGTGCTGGTGTCCTGCAGACTGAAGCGAAAGTTCACACTCAGTGAAATCTTGGTCGTACGTTTACCTACATGATGAGGAAAAATAGTTGAATCTTCAATATGAAGTAAAGCAGAAAGAAAAATCATACTGCAAATACCCTTCTCACATGTATGCAACAAAGCTAAAACAGTGGAACTGACAGCATAAAGTACATGAGATTCTGGCACGAGCTCCTGAATCTGCTAACTCAACATAGCATAGGCAACCTCAAAGACTCAAACATCCATTCTTCCAGGTCCAGTTTGCCCTGACATATAAAACAGATTTCTCAACATAGAATCAGTAACCTCAAATATCTGCGAGATTTACATTACTAAAAATGCATTCATATGAAGAAAAGTGAACACATTAGAGATTTTACAAAATCTCAAGATTGTATACCTTTCCCAAATCGCCATCATTAGTCATTACCCCTAATATTCCATAGAAAATTTCTTTGAATATGCTGTGCAAAAATCCATAAGATAAAACACAACAAATCAAACAAAGAATTCATATGCAAAATCCTTTAAATCAAAGAGGCTCCTATCTTTTCCCGATCGCCATCAGAAGTAATTACCACTAAAATTGTAACCAGTCATGTTAGACTATTTGCCTGCCTTTCCTCGCCCATCCAAGATTAAAAGATCCATAGACATATCACTTTCATGTGATCTGGACACACTGCAAAATGAACTCAACCATACAAGTAGGAAGTTCGGATTTCTTATACAGTTGTTCTGGCAGGAGAGCTTTCGCAAGCAATAACATAACTGCTTTCTGAGGAGTTAGTCTCATATGCAGCATATCAACTAGTCAACCAAATCCATCAAAAAATTGATACTTTGCAGGGAGCAACTTAATATCCACCTGATGTTTCCCTTTCCGAGACAACAACAATGAGGTAGTTGAAGCTTCAAGTGAGATACTCTTCCCGTCAACTTTAGACAAATAATTGCCAGCCTTGGCTATCTCACCTTTTTTCAACAACATTCTGATGATATCATTTATAAGACCGGAACTGGGAACGATGCCACTGTTGTCCATTGATGAAAACATATTGTCAGCATCTTCCACTGCTCCGCCTTTTAGAAGATTTCTTATTATTACTGCATAAGTAGATTCATTGGGCACCAACCCATTGGCTGATATTGTAGCAAACAATTCCTTTGCTTCTTCCTTTCTTTGAACCTTGTACATTGCATTAATCATGGTATTGAGTATTTCAATATTGAACTTCACATTCATTGCTCGCAATTTCTGGAACAGTGCAATCGCTTCATCTACACAATTATTTCTACAAAGACCTCCAAGTATTATATTGTATATGACAATGTCCACTGTTGTTCCACTTTCAGTCATCTCATGGAACATTTCCATTGCAGCGACAGTTCTCCCGGCACGAAACAACCCATCCAACATGATGCCATATGTAACAGTGTCAGGTTTAATTCTCTTACGCGGCATTTCTCTAAACAAAGTCAGAGCATCATCAATCCTTCTGTTTTTAGAATAGCCATCAAGAAGTGCACTATAAGTAACAACATTAGGCTCAACACCAACTGATTCCATGACATCAAGTATTTTGAATGCTTTATCCATGTTCCCGACTAAGCAATATCCGTCAATCAGTGAATTAAATGTAATGACATTAGGCCTCTCACCTATGCCTATAACCAAGTCTAAGACATCATGTGCATCCATAACCCTTCCTTCTTTGCACAGACTGTTTATTACTGAATTGAAGAACACAATGTTTGGACGAGGAATACCTCTGTTCATCATTTCAGAAACCAGCTGCTTGGCTTTAACCAAATCACCGTCTATGCAAAAACCCTGAATTAGGGAGTGATAAACGGCTGTGTTTGGCTGAATTCCCATGGCAATCATCTGATTAAATTTTTCCATAGCGTCGGTCAACCCCCCCATCCTGGAAAGTGCAGCTATTACAGTGGAATAGGTGACTACATCGGGACTCACTCCTTTTTCCCACATTTCTGTAAATATCAGCATAGCTTCATCCGTCATTCCACGTTTAGCATATCCATTAATTAATATGTTGAAAACATGGCAGTTGGCAGCAATACCGTTTCTTTGCATTGAATTAAAGAGATCAATCATATCAGCAAAGCATCCTTCATTGGCATACCCATGAAGCAAAATGCAGTAGGAGATTGTTAGAGTTATAATATAAGTCATGTACCCCTTTGTATTTATCCCGTTATATAAGGGGTTTCCTGCATATGTTCCACACCTGTACATGTATATATATATCGGCCTATGGCCTCATGGGAATAGCTTATTCCTAACATGGTATTAGAGCTAGGTCAATTTTTTGCACGCTGCAACTTGTGCTATTGATCTCTTCTGGCTTATCTCGTTCCCGATCGAAGCCCCTCTCGATCTCCCGGAGTCTCCCGGTCGGATCGATCTCGTCCGGCTCCTCGATCTCCCGATCGGATCGCTCCCCAGCCGGCCCGATCGTCCTCATCCCGGATCGATCCCAGCCGGCCCCAATCGATGCAGGCCCAATCAACACAGATCGCCTCCTGTGCACTCGGCTGGGGCGCTCGGCTGGAAGCACCTCCAGGCTCCAGGAAGGCTCCGCTCCACGTGCAGGCCCGCCCGTACAGCTCCAGCAGCCTGCGTGTTGCTCTCCTGCAGCTGCAGGCTTCTGTCCGCACACGTTTGCCTGCAGCTGGATCTCATCTTGGCCAATGCTGCTGCTTCCTGTCGACCGCGTGTGCCCCTGCTGGCTGGCTGCTGCTCCCGCCGGCCCTTGCCCCTGCGGTTCTTCAGCCGCCGACTGCCAGCTGCCCCTTGATCGATCTCTGCTAAAAAAAAAATGTCTGCTGCATCGGGCTATGTTGCTGTCCCTCGCTGTCCGGTGATCTTTGATGGTACTAACTACACCGAGTTTACTGGCTTCATGCGCATTCACATGCGTGGCATCCGTCTTTGGGGTGTTCTTTCTGGCGAGGTCTGCTGTCCGCCACGTCCGGTTCCTCCGGTGGCCCCTACTCCGCCAACTCCATCGGTTCTTCCTACGGATGCTAATCAGGCCGCCAAGGATGCGGCTAAGGTTGCTGATGAGGCTGCTGATCGTGCTTATGATGAGAGGGTTTTGGCTTATGAGGAGGCTCTTCAGACGTATCATGGTGCTCTGTCTGTTTACACCCAGTGGCTTGATGATGATGCTCGTGCTGCAGCTGTTCTCACTGCTAGTGTTCTGCCTCAGTTTGCTTCTGAATTTCTGGGTCTTTCTACTGTCTTTGAGATGTGGACCCGTCTTCGTGAGCGCTATCAGCCCTCTGGTGATGCCTTATACCTCTCTGTGATCCATCAGGAGCATGCTCTTCAGCAGGGTGACTCTACTGTTGATGACTTCTATGCACAGAGTTCTGCTATCTGGCGCCAGCTTGATTCTCTCCGTAGTGCTGGGTGTCGTACCTGCCCCTGTTGCCAGGCTGTCCAGGCCAATTTGGAGTTTCATCGCGTCTATGAGTTCTTGTCTCGGCTCCGTAAGGAGTTTGAGCCCCGGCGATCTCAGTTGTTTGCTCGTGGCCGTATTTCTCTCATGGAGGCGCTTTCTGAGATTCGTGCTGAGGAGACTCGCTTACGTGGTGCTGGTTTGCTGGAGGTTCCCTCTGTGCTCGCTACTCGTGCTCCTACGCCACTTGCTCCACCGACCCCTTCTCGCTCGAGTGCTCCGCCGCTCTTGCCCACTCCTTCTGGAGGCTCAGGTCGCCCCCGTCCACATTGCGCCTATTGCAACAATGATGGTCATCTTGAGTCTCAGTGCTACACGAAGAAGAAACACCTGCGCAAGGCTCGCTCATCATCTTCAGGGACTTCGTCATCTACCTCGACAGCTTCAGCCATTGCTTTGGCTGAGCAGGATATTCTGAGACTTAAGCGTCTGCTCGCGGCTTCAGGTTCTTCCTCGACGGGTACTGTCGGTTCTGTGACTGATGCTTCCCGCACTGAGCAATCACCCTCTACACAGTCAGGTACATCCCCCTGGGTTCTGGATTCTGGAGCTTCCTTTCATATGTCTTCTCATTCTTCCACTTTGTCCTCTCTTCGATCACTGGATTCTCCTATTCATGTCTTCACTGCTGATGGTACTCCACTTTCTGTTGCTAGTAGAGGCAATCTTACTACTCCTTATTCTATTCCTGATGTTGCTCATGTTCCTCGACTCACCATGAATTTGTTTTCTGCTGGTCAACTTACGGATTCTGGTTGTCGCGTCATCCTTGACGTTGACTCTTGTTCTGTCCAGGACCGTCACACGCACACTCTGGTTGGGGCTGGCCCTCGCCGCCGTGATTCTCAGGGTCTTTGGGAGTTGGACTGGCTTCATGTTCCTTCTGCTGCCACCACCATCGCCAGTTCTTCCGCTTCTGTCGCCTCCGTCACTGGTTCCTTCCAGCAATGGCATCATCGACTTGGTCATCTGTGTGGTTCTCGGTTGTCTTCTTTAGTTCGTCGAGGCCTTCTGGGGTCTGTCTCAGGAGATGTCTCTTTAGAGTGTCAGGGTTGTCATCTTGGCAAGCAGATTCAGTTACCATATTCACATACTGAGTCAGTGTCTAAGCGTCCTTTCGATTTAGTCCATTCTGATGTATGGGGTCCGGCCCCTTTCGCTTCGAAAGGTGGTCATAAATACTATATTATTTTCATAGATGATTTCTCTCGTTACACCTGGCTTTATTTCATGACATCTCGTTCTGAGGTGTTGTCTATTTATAAGCGTTTTGCTGCCATGGTTCATACTCAGTTCTCTTCACCCATTCGTGTTTTTCGTGCTGACTCCGCTGGCGAGTATATCTCTAAGATGTTGCATGGTGTTCTTGCTGAGCACGGGACTCTCTCTCAATTCTCTTGTCCTGGTGCTCATGCTCAGAATGGTGTGGCTGAGCGAAAGCATCGACATCTTCTTGAGACGGCTCGTGCATTGATGATTGCTGCCTCTCTCCCGCCTCATTTTTGGGCTAAGGCCGTCTCCACATCCACCTATCTTATCAATATACAACCTTCCGCTGCTCTACAGGGTGGTGTTCCTTTCGAGCGACTTTTTGATCGTTCTCCCGATTATTCGATGCTTCGCTCATTTGGTTGTGTTTGCTATGTTCTTCTTGCTCCTCGCGAACGCACCAAACTGACCGCTCAGTCTGTTGAGTGTGTCTTCTTAGGCTACAGTGATGAGCATAAGGGCTATCGTTGTTGGGATCCTATTGGTCGTCGGATGCGTATCTCTCGAGATGTGACTTTTGAAGAGTCTCGTCCCTTCTACCCACGCCCATCTTCCTCGACTTTTTCAGTGCAGGATATCTCTTTTCTCACTTTTCCTGACTTACCTATCACCCCCGTCGAGACTGTACCTCTCCGTTCCACTTCCTCTCCTTCTCCACATCTCGTTGATTTGCAGCCACCATCCTCCCCGGTCTCCTCGCCTCGCATGTCACCGGGTTCTCCACCTTCATCTCCGGTGACTTCCTCTCCGGTCTCCTCTCCCAGCCTGTCACCGGACTCTACACCTTCATCTCCGGTGACTTCTTCGTCGCCGCCCCCTGATTCTACCTTGCCGATTCCTCCTTCTATTATTCCATCTTTTCCTCAGCATTATACTCGTCGTCCATGACCAGTCGATGCCTCTATGGATGGGTCGTCATCTTCCTCTCAGCCTACTTATGGCTTGCGTTCTCGTCCTCGTCCGCCTGTTGATCGCTTTGGATTTCCCACCGCTGGTGCTGCTGTTCTTGAGCCGACTTCTTACCGTCAGGCTGTTGTTCATCCTGAATGGCAGTTTGCGATGGCAGAGGAGATTGCTGCTCTTGAACGCACTGGTACCTGGGATCTTGTTTCTCTTCCTCCCGGAGTCCGTCCGATCACTTGTAAGTGGGTCTATAAGGTTAAGACTCGCTCCGATGGTTCTCTTGAGCGTCACAAAGCTTGTCTTGTGGCTCGTGGTTTTCAGCAGGAGCATGGTCGTGATTATGACGAGACTTTTGCTCCTGTGGCTCATATGACCACTATTCGTACACTTCTTGCCGTTGCCTCTGCACGCCACTGGTCTATATCTCAGCTTGATGTTAAGAATGCCTTTCTTAATGGTGAGCTGCGTGAGGAGGTGTACATGCAGCCACCACCTGGGTATTCTGTTCCTGATGGCATGGTATGTCGTCTTCGTCGCTCTCTCTACGGCCTTAAGCAAGCCCCCCGCGCCTGGTTTGAGCGCTTTGCCTCTGTGATCACTGCTGCTGGTTTTTTAGCAAGTGCTCATGATCCAGCATTGTTTATTCACCTTTCTCCTCGTGGTCGGACTCTTCTTCTTCTTTATGTTGATGACATGATCATCACGGGGGATGACCCCGAGTATATTGCCTTTGTAAAGGCCCGTCTTAGTGAGCAGTTTCTTATGTCTGATCTTGGACCTCTTCGCTACTTTCTTGGGATTGAAGTCTCTTCTACCTCTGATGGCTTTTTTATATCCCAGGAAAAGTATATCCAGGATCTTCTTACTCGTGCTGCTCTTACTAATGAGCGCGTTGTTGAGACTCCTATGGAGCTCAATGTTCACCTCCGTGCTACTGATGGTGATCCTCTCCCTGACCCGACGCGTTATCGTCATCTTGTTAGCAGTCTTGTCTATCTAGCTGTCACTCGTCCGGACATCTCTTATCCGGTTCATATTCTGAGTCAGTTTGTCTCTGCCCCCACCTCGGTTCACTATAGTCATCTCCTTCGTGTTCTTTGATATCTTCGAGGCACGATCTCTCACCGTCTATTCTTTCCTCGCTCCAGTTCTTTACAGCTCCAGGCCTATTCGGATGCTACGTGGGCTAGTGATCCTTCCGATCGCCGTTCACTTTCTGCTTACTGTGTTTTTCTTGGTGGTTCTCTCATTGCCTGGAAGACGAAGAAACAGCTTGCAGTTTCCCGTTCGAGTGCCGAGGCTGAGTTGCGAGCAATGGCTCTTTTGACGGCAGAGGTGACTTGGTTACGGTGGTTACTTCAGGATTTTGGTGTTTCTGTCACTACACCGACTCTACTTTTATCTGACAGTACATGTGCTATCAGCATTGCACGCGATCCTGTGAAGCATGAGCTCACCAAGCACATTGGTGTTGATGCTTTCTATGTGCGCGCTGTTGTGCAGGATCAGGTTATTGCTCTTCAGCATGTGCCTTCCGAGTTGCAGTTGGCGGATTTCCTGACGAAGGCTCAGACTAGAGCACAACATGGCTTTTATCTCTCCAAACTCAGTGTTGTTCATCCACCATGAGTTTGAGGGGGGGTGTTAGAGTTATAATATAAGTCATGTACCCCTTTGTATTTATCCCGTTATATAAGGGGTTTCCTGCATATGTTCCACACCTGTACATGTATATATATATCGGCCTATGGCCTCATGGGAATACAAGTTGCTTATTCCTAACAGAGATGACATCTCCGTGGCCTTTGGCAGTCGTGGCATCAAAAAATTCTGCAGCTTCTTTGCTTCTTCCATGCTTACAAAGGTAAGTCATTAAGGAGCTGCAAGTAAAGTTATCTGGTATAAGACCCTGACTTGTCATTTCTCTGAACATTTTAGCAGCCTCTTTCAACTGCCCTGATGTGGAATATCCATGGATCATGCAATTATATGTCACATTATTGGGTTGAACACCTTTGTTAACCATCTTCTCAAGCACTAGCTCTGCCTTGTCCATTGCTCTGGCCTTGCACAACGCATCAATGATTGAACTATATGTCCACACATTGGGCTCAACACCTTGCTGCATCATTTCATGGAACAGATTGCATGCCTTGCCTGTTTCACCTTCCTTAAAGAAGCCATGGATGACTGTGCTATACGCCACCACGTTGGGGGAGCAGCCACCTCCTTCTTTCGCCATCATATGGAGCAGGTCGAGCGCCTGCCGGCTCATGCCATTATCGCATAAGCTCTTGAGAACAATGTTGTATGAGAAGGCATTAGGCACACAGCCGAGCCGGGGCATCCTATGAAGCAGCACGTTCACAGCCTCATCCGTCCGTTTCGCACAGCAGAGGCACTTGAGGAAGGTGTTGGCGACGATCTGGTCAGCCTTCAGGCCCGTCCTGAGGAGGCGAGCCAAGAAGGCGAGCCCTAGGTCCGGGCGATGCGCGCGGCAGCAGCAGTTCATGAGGATGCCGTAGGTGAAGATTGTGGGCGGTGCCACCCGCGCGCCGGATTCATCCCGGCAGACGCGGTTGAAGAGAGCGAGGGCGAGGGCGGGCCCATCTCTGCAGGCTCCGGAGGCGGGCACGGGCGAGGGCGGCAAGGAAGCCGTTGAGGGAGCGCCCGGGGACCGGGGTGGCCTGCCGCAGCAATTCGTCGAACAGGTGGTGTGCATCGTCTTGGCTGAGCGCCCCGGTGCGTACGCGCTCTGTTGCTGCAGCAAAGGCGGCATGTGGAGACCAGGAGTGCGGGGGCCGCGTGGTGGAGGAGAAGAGGCGACGGCGGAGGTGGATGCGGGACATCGGCGTGGTGGTGGTGCGGTACTGGTGGAGGCGGAGGAGGGGAGCCGCAGAGATAAAGCTGGAGGAGTGGCAGAGGACGGGCTCCGGGTAGGTGCAGGAGGGGTAGGGGCGGCGACGGAGGCGGATGCGGATGCGGATGCGGCGGAGCATCGGCGTCGGGAATGGCCGTCGACTGGAGTTCAGTTCGTACGAAGTGGCGAGAGATTAGTTTCCTTCCATGGCAGGAGTGGAGATAGTCGTGCCTTCGCTTATTTTCCTTCGTCACATAACGAGCGTTCGCTAATTTCTGTCAATTGGCATGGGTCCAACCTCCCTGTCACAGAGTTTCCATGTTCAACTTCTGCGTCATGCTTAATTTTGGTATCTCTGTTCCTTTTCCAAAGAAGCACTTTGATTCCTTCATTTAAATGTTTAGCCTAACTTCACGTGCTTGGCATCGTTTCTTCCCTGTCATCAAAGTGCTCTCTCCTTCTTAATTGCTTCGTCATGTCATTTTTCCATTTATGTGAAATGCTTAGCACATGTGCATCGTGTAGCACTGAGAAGATCCTTACGTTGTGGGTTGTACCAATTTAGGAATAGGGAATACGTTTGTGACATTTAAAAAAAATTGTTTATACAATGTAAAAAATGTTCGCTTAGCTTAAATAAAATGTATCGTATCATTCAAAAAAAATGTTTCAAAGTGTATTTGAAAATTTAATTTGTGGAACATGACAAATTTGCTTCATGGAACATGGCAATTTATTTTTTTGGACCATGGCCAATTTACTTCATGAACCATGGCAATTTTCATTTTTGTATCATGTCAGATTTTACTACATGGACCACGACAACTTGTTTTTTTGGTATCATGTCAAATTTGCTTCAAGGATTATGACAAATTTACTGAAGAATCCTTGGTATTTTGTGCGCCAAGGCAAGTTTTTTTTTCTGGAATTTTGTTTTGTACACACCAAGGCAATTTTCATCGTACATCTCATGATGAATTTTGTTTTTGGTAAATCATATTAGATCATGTCAAATTTTTCAAACAAATTGTGGTCATGTTTTGTACACCATGACAAGTTATACTTAAACATGACATGGCAAATTTTGTTTTCTTTGGACTATTTCACATTTTTTTCTTTAAAATCCTTTTTGTCATCATCTTATGAAACAAATGGCAACTTAGGTTCAGGCGTGTTTTTTTTAAGTTTTCTTGCATGTGTTTTAAGTTGTGGCAAATGTTGTTGCCCGTGACCGCCAGCGGCATGCCATCACCGAAAGCGATACGAAAAGGCACCATGGTGATTGGTGAACACGCTGGGGAAGGTCATCGTGACGTCTGGTATTAACAGGACGTCGGTGGGCGACGCCGAGGTGGACGCGGAGCAACATGTGGAGATGAATTGCTGCATAGGAACCAGGAAGCCGCCGGCGCCCGTGGAAGCCGTGACAAAGTGTTTTTCTGAGTTTTGTTAGGCTTTGTGCCATGCTCAAGAAGACGAGGCGGCAGCGGCTTCTTGAAAATGAAATAAGGTTTTTCCTATCTAGTCCTTATCCCAGTGATGTCTCAAACGTCATCATAAGGCGTGTGATCCGATCGGCGTTTGTCTTTGGTGAATCTGGTCTTCGTTTGTCTATGTCTATGTGTTTGCAGATTGGATCCTTTCGATCCATACTTCCCTTCATCGACGGCGTTGATGTTCTAATGCGCTGGTCTTATGGGGCCTCAACACGACGATTTTTTGATTGTTTACTACAGCGGCTCTGTCGAGGGAGGGACGATGACGGCGGCGCCTTCGGCTCATTTCAGTGCTTGTAGTCGTCGCTAGGCGTGGTCTATAGATCTGAATGTAATTTTTACCATTTCTGGTTTTATGGGAACAACTCTCTCAACAGCAGCTAAACTCTGAGTCCCCGAGACCAGCTGACCATATAAATGTTGATTTAGAGCATCTCCAGCCGTTGGCCCTTTAGGAGGCGCTAAAAATCGCCCCCTGGAGACGCACCGGCGATAAACGACGCGCTGGGGGCGTGATGTCCCCCAGTCACGGCACCCACGTTTTTTTTTGAAAATATAAATTACGGCACAAATTCAATCAAACTTCGGCGAGTTCGTTCATATTTAAAATATTTTACAAAAGAAAAAAGCTACTAGGTTGCTCCTCGCTGTCTCCCCTCGCCGCCCACTGCCCTTGCAGATCTACATGCCGAGGAGGCGGTAGAACCGCGTGTAGTCGTCGCCGCCACCGTCGTTGTCGCCTCCGCCGCGGCCGCTGTCCCTGCTGCAACCCTCCCCAGTTGGTGTGGCGGGTTGGACGGTCCGGGGGCGTCGTCGTCGTCGCTGTCGAGGACCACGATGTCGTGCTCGTCCTCGCGCCCACATTTGCGGGCGGCTATCTCCTCCAGGGCCCGGCGTTGCCGGACCATCTCGTCGCGGAGGTAATCATCCCGCGCCCATTGCATGGCGCCCTCGTCGGAGATGCCGCGCCGGGCTATCTCCTCGTACTCCGTGGGAAGGCCGGGCTCCGGCTTCGGCCTGACAAGGACGAGGCGGCCAGAGGCGGGGGCGGAGTCGTCGATGCAGACGCCAGAGCTGCGGGTGCGCACGCTGACAGGCGTGTCCTGGAGCTCCGGCTTGACGGGGCGGAGGCAGGGAGAGCCGGTCGACCGACCTGACGAGGAGGAGTACGTCCCGGGGTCCATGCGCCTCGGCGTCCACGAGCTCCCACGACAGCGAGAGAAAGACGGGGGGAGGGGTACTCCAGCCTCGGCGTGTTGCCGCCCTCGATGTACTCGAGGACGGCCTCCAGCGTGCGGCCGGGCACGCCCCACCATCGGCGCCGCCCCTCGGAGTTGAGCCTGTCGGAGGGAACTACGCCGTTGGTGGCCTTGAGTTGCTCGGCGTGGCGGCGGCGGAAGTATGGCTTCCAGAGCGGGCTGTCGGGGACGTAGCGTGGCCCCTCCCTCGCGCCCATGGCAGGGAGGAGCGGATACGCGCGATCTCCGCGCGCCGCGCCGCCCCGGTGGGCGGTGGCGGCACCGGGACCCCGCCGGCGCTGATTCTCCAGGGCCCGGGCATCCGCATGTCCGGCGGGACCGGGTACTCAGCCTCGAAGAGGAGCCGAGCTTCGTGCTCGTGAAGGTGGCGGCCGCCGAAGCCGTTCGCCACCGCGCCGTCGCCTGGGAAGCGTTCGGCCATTATTTGAGCTGGAGACGGCGAGAGGAGAGGGAGGAAGGGGGAGAAAGGTAGCGCCGGCGGTGGAGACTCTGTGCGTGCCACCAGCGCGCTGGGGGTCAGCTTTATGTAGGCGGAGGCGCCGCGCGTACGCGTGGCCGCCGCGTTACGCATGGCATGCGAGGGGACGCGCGTCGTCTCGTTTTCACTGCGCCGCCCGTGAGGCATCAATGGCGGAGGCTGACCGGCGCGGCAGCGCGCGGCAACTTTGGCATTGATTTGCCGCGGGAAACGAAGCGATAAGGACGACGAAGCGGCGAGAAACGAGACGAGTCGCTGGCAAGGAGGGCCCGCGGCTCTTTCGCACCAAAAACGATTCGCCCGACGCCCCCGAGCGCCCCCCAACACGTCGAGGTCGGGTTGGGTCCGCCGGCGCCAATTTCGGCCCAAGCCAACGAAAATTGAGCCCTTGGAAGCGACTGGACCGATTTTTTTACGTCGGCAGCCGAAAACTCGCCTGGGAGGCCTTGTTAGGGACGCGGTTGAAGATGCTCTTAGCTAGGCCATTGTCTGCCAAGAAAGCTAAAGCGACTGAAGAACTTTCACCATAAAACGTTATCTCCAGTGGTCGTTTTCAGCTGGGTGGGCTCTATGCACAGATAATTAAACACCATTAAGCAGGTATTGTGTACCATGTCATGCGATTTGAATGTGTAAGATGGCGTGTCCACAGATCGTCAAACCCCGGATCATATGCGTGTAGCTAGATATACAAAAGCTATTACTCCCAGAACTCAGCACCCGAACCTATACGCCTCAGGACCCCAAGGAAATTCAACTGAACCAGACATGTGCTTTCATCAGAACTGCCTCAGCCTAGCGTGTTATATATACAAATGGATCAGCAAGATGGTTAGACGATTGTAACCTGCTCGAAGGTTCACAGAGCGACCATACACGTGTTATGACCGGCCGGACCTATGACCGTAGAAGGCCCACCGGACAAGCTTAGCCCATAAATTATCTTAGTTTTTATTTCACGTCGTGATTATATATACAAAATTGTAAGACTATTTTAAGATTTAAGCAATAAGACTCCTGCCTAAACCCTAACCGCCTCCTGCCTTCGCCGCCGCCGCACCCGCGCAAGGACGGCGCCACGCCAGCGGCCGCAGTGCTCCAACCCTCGCCCTCCTCCCTCGTTTCCCTACAACCTACGTCCGAGACCGGCAAGAACCCTAGCTCCTATTACTTTGGTATCAGAGCTAGCTTGGTTTCGACCATGTCATCACCACCACCAAGCCCGTCGCTGCCCCTCGCCACCACCTCCGCCGCGACATCGCCGATCCCCTCCATGGCACCGCTGGCCCTTCCCTCGGCGCCGATGGGTTCCACCGCCGGCGCGTCGACTGGCCATTCGCCACCCCCCTCCACGGATCTGCCGCCATCACCGTCCACCACGCCGCTCGTCTACTCCTCGGAGGCCATGACCGGCATCCT